CAGTCTTGGCAATTGTATCAAATTTGATGAGATTAGTATTCAGAAAACACCAGTGCAATTTATTGCGAGTGCAAATCTAGGCCAAATCCACCAATCAAATGAATCAAAAGACGCATCCTCCTCCATTCGGCCCCCGATTACAACCCGAGTCAGCACAGCCGGGGGGATGAGGCGAGTCAGTATCAATCACAGCTCGCCGGTGCCTCCAGATGAACTTGTCGATCAATCGTCAGGGTGTGACGGGACTTTAAATGTTCACTTGGCATCCTTGCTGACTTCCTTTCTCCCCGTTAAGTCCGCTTCCTGACGCTTACCCAAGCTCGTTCGTATGGCAGATTCCACTTGGCTAATAACTGCCACATTTCTCGTTAGCTGGCAAACTTTACTCATCTGCTCATGAAGCCAGGTTCATTGAAGTGGCGATTGAATTATGAGGGCTCTAGAAGTTTTGCGATTACGTGTCACGAGTTGTATCATAGGAGACCGCAAATGCTTGATCATGTATCAATTGTAGTCTTCGTATCTCTTGTTATCAGACTGAAAGACTCTGCCCATCCTTCTTCATTCATTCCAGAAAGAACCCCTTCAATGGTACAATGTTGACTCCCGCCCTCCCAATACCGTATACGCTGCCCCCTTCAGGCTTCAACTCTCCGTCGAAGGGACAATGCACATACTCAACTTTTCAGATGACGGCACGGCAGTATCAGGCATCGATGATTGAGTCCATCACATCATACCGCGAAGATAGCGACCATCCAAGACATGCTCGAAGTTGTCAAGGTCGATATGGTCCTCGTCGAACTTGCGGAGGGAGCCGCGGCGGATCTCGACGTCGACGACCAAGAGCTTGCCAGTGGTCATGTTGTAGAAGCAATGCTAAAGTTTGACAAGAATCAGGGTCAGCATGAAGTCCTGAGTTCGTAAGGTAGGAAAATCAAAGGAAGAAAAATAAGAAGAAGAAAAGACGCCCAGAGATGCCCCAACAGAGCTCGAACTTCATCTCCGCGATGAACGAAGCAAAACTGACCTTGTGCTTATGCTTCTCATCCTTGACCACAGTACCGTCAGCCTTGACAGGGTGTCCAATCAAGATAGCAGCAACCAAGAACTGCACGCCCTCGCCGAACTGAACATCGGCAACCAACTTGTCCAAACCCTTGGCCTCCATTCTATTCTTGATGTGCGCAACTACAGAATCCTCGTCCTCGGTGACACCCACAAACATCTCGTACGAAAAGTGCGTGACAAAGCTGTCCGAAAGCCGAACCGTCTTGGCGCGCGGGAATGACGCCAAAAACTCGGCAGGCTGCTCGGAGTATCTGAGGTTGCCGACGATGCCCTGGATGTGCTCGGCGTTCTGGCGCGCAAAGGGGCCCAACAGGTCCGCCATGGTCGGGAAGCGCTGGGCGCCCGCGTCGACGAGGGAGCGGGTCCAGTAGAGGGGGCGGGCTTCGTTGTAGATCTGGCGGCAGGTCAGGAGGAAGTCGCTGTGCTCTGCGGTGGCTGCCCAGGCCGGGACCGGGGCACCGCGGAGGCGGCGGTTGTGGCGGACGAGGATGATGCTGTCGCAGGTGACGTTGGAGCCCTTGATGACTTGGATGTAGATCTTGTAGCGGATCTCGTAGGGGATGGTGAGGAGAGTGCAGCGGTGCTGGACGTCGGTGATGGCGTGGTTGTTGGCGCTGGCCACGGTGATGTGGTTGACGCCCGTGGTGATGTTGTCGACGCCGGTGATGATGTTGTCGACGTCCACGTTGGCGTTATCGACATCGATGTCCATTGTGGTATCGTCGATATCCATGGCGGTGTCGTCGACTTCCATCGCGCTGTTCTCGACTGCCATCGCGGTGTTGCGGCCTCCACGACCTCTACCGCCTCTGCGACGTCTGCGTCTGATGACGGTAGCTTGTCCGCTATCGTTGCCAGACCACATCTTCGCGGATTGATGAAGATGAATATGTCCGCGGTGGAAGATGGAGATGGAGATGAGTTTGGAAAAGAGAATCTCTGTTTTGGAAGGAAGGCCTTTTTTCTTTTTTTTGGAAATATTCAGGGTGGTGGGCGAGATAGAAGGCGCTGGAAGTCATGTGAGAAGCGGATACTTGAAGAGCGGCAGCTTTAATGATGAAGACGGGATGGGAGGTTCATGAGTGAATCACATCGTCGCGGAGAGCTTCTAGTTGGCATTGGGTACGGGGGTGGTGAAGTGAGAAGATGTGACTCGGGATGCTTGGATGCTTGGACTTGGACAACTCGTCTGGGCTTCAAAGTCATGGATCCAAGTCAGTACGTACGATGCTGTTGAGCCTAGCAGACTTGGGATCAGCATAAAGGCATCAGAGGTGTCAAGAAACACCTTGCACTTGTAGTTCGTCCTTCAGGTTGAAAGCAAATCAGAATGATCACAGTCTCTATCCTTTCATGACTTTGTTGTCTGGTGAGCATTATGCCTTACTGGGATCTTTAGAGAAGTCCAACATTACTGGATATAAGCATTCTTAGTAATGTAAGAGAGTTGGAAGTCTGCTTACTTATCTCTTAGAGTCAACATCTCCCTTTGACTTTCTGAAGGATAGTTTACCATGTTACTGTTGCGAAATCCTGTAAGCCCGATACAAGATGCGAGAGGCAAAGTGGAGGGCCAAGAAGACGAATCTCAGTAAGAAGAATGTAATTTGTAGCACTAGCGAAAGCTCAATAATATCCAGTGTCAAACAGTTATTATCGGGCATGGTGGTAGTGAATGGGAAGAGTCGAAAGAAGTTGCGAAGGAAATGCCATTGATCAATAAGTGAGCAGTGAGAAACTGTGTAAGTCGAGCCTGCTCATCATCAGCAGACCTTATCAATTTTTAGATGGCTAAATAGATGTACCTGCTCCGAACCATCTCATGGCCTAGGATTACGAGAAGCACCTGTTATCTCTCCAAATAGATTTAAAAAGACCAAAGACTAAGTGTCTACTTGGCAACAATAGCCTCGCTTGCTTTCAGAGCACCAACCACCGTGAAGCAGATCAGGGGTGATACGATATAAGACATCTGCAATCTTGTCAGCAAATACGTTACGTATCAGAGGACGCGAGATCAGGAGGTGTTAACTTACAGTCAAAAACTTGGCAATCAACATCTTCAAAGAGTCCTCAGACCCATCAACATCCGCCAGCGCAGACAACTTCATAGCCGGAGGTCCAGTCGGCATAAGCATCAAGCAGAACCACAAAAGCGCATCCTTGGTCAACAGCTCCGTCCTGCTAGCCAAGAGATAAATCACGCCAATCGAGATGACGGGCCAGAGAATGAACCTAACAAATGTGACCGCCAGGAACGGCACGACAGGCACCTTGCTCTCCTTGGAATCCTCCCCGTTCTTGTACTGCAAGATCGCCTTGGACAGCTTCACGCCCACGACGATGACTTGCAGCACAGCAAAAAGCTCGCCGACGTTCTTGATCGAGGAGGTGAGCCAGGCGTTGAAGTAGCCGCCCTCCTCGGGCTCGTTGAAGAAGAGGCGGTGGAGGGCGGGAACGAGGCCGAGAAGGGCGCCGATGAGGGCACCGATTACGGGGGCGTTAACGAAGCTGTAGAGGAACTCGAGGATGGAGCGGGATGTCGGAGACAGGTTGGACCAGTATTTGTTGCCCTTGCCGTAGACGCGGTACTTTGTACGGGTGATTCTGGTCACGGTGCGGTTTGGGAGCAGGGAGGTTTGCTCATTGTGCTCGACGGCGTCCTGCTCTTGGGACTCGAGGTCTTCTTCGCCGTCGCTGTCGTTATTGTCGTCGTTGTCGTCGTCTCCCTCGGCCTTGTCAGGGGCTTCTTCTTCTTGGCCGTTGAGGAGCTTCGGTCCCAGGGCGAATGTGAGGGAGTTGCCAATCATGGCATTGACCAAGAAATAGCTCTTGGCCTTGGTGACGACGCCAGAGCTGTCATCGATGGAGCTAAGGATGCCGGTGGCGTCGAGGGATTGCACGAGCAAGAGGGGCAGACTGGTGGTGTTATTGAAGGCGATGGCCGGGATGACCCAGTCGGGCATGGCAAAGACCTTTGTCAAGACGAAACCGATGCCAATTGACACTGTAGTGTAAAAGATGGCCCAGATGATGATGGGGACGTATCGAATTCCCTAGTAGATGGGTCAGACGAGACGGATATAAGGTGCCGAAGGGTGGGCCCGGGATACTTACAGTCTCGAGGTCAAGCTGCGAACCAACGTTCGTAATCAGGAGAGCAGGAAGAGCCATTCGAACGCAAAATGTCGAAATCTTCTTGCTGCTGCGATCGTCGAGGAGGCCATACTGAGCGGCAATGACACCGGCGGAAATGGTGAGGAGCACCGATAAGGAAGCTTGAAAAGCCCCCAAGAAAGGGACGAGGATGCTTTCTGCCGTGTTGTCTGACATGGTTTCTACTAGTCTTTTCAAGTCACTGAACTACCAGCAACCTGAGGGGACAGGAGAAGGGGAACAAGCGTGATTTAAGAAGAGCGGCAGCAACTTCGATTGAGACACGCGACAGCTCGTTCCTTGCCATGCTTGCGCAGGGACAGAAATGCTTGGCGTGTGCGCTTGGCACCAGGAACGTGAGGAGGCCGTGGACGTCACTGTGCACGGGCCAAGAACGCCCCTTGATAGCGTCTTGATGATGAGATGAGGTTTCTGGCTTGGCTGCTTCCGGGCGCCCATGGTGATGTCCATAACTTCTTCGATCGTGGTGTTTTTGGACTGCTTTTGTGGTGTTTCTGCAATGCCAAGCATCGTCGATGGAAGGAAGGGCGGTTTTTGGGTTCCGGTGTGAGCGAGGTGTGTGACAGTGTGATCCAAGCTCCCCCGGTTACCATGCTCGGTGAGCTTCGCTGAGAGCTTCCCGTCACCGAGAACTTACACAAAAGGGAGTACGTACCGTTTTATGCTCAGGAGCTATGCAGTGGAAGGTCTCCACAAATAGCCGAGCAAAACCGAATTGGTGCGAACGTCATTGCACGCTCACCAATGGAGCTTCTGCTCCTCAGTTGCTGTCCTCGGCATAACCTCCAGCTCTACCGGCACAACGTCGACATCGAATTCTGCGAATCGTTCAACGCCCATCACCGCGATTGAAGCCCGTCTTCAATCTCGCATTTACTCCATTGGCTTGTTCTTGTTTAGCTTCTTGTTGCTGTCTACCCCAACCGCCACAATGCCTCCCCGTCTCGCCCCCCTCCGGATCGCAATCCGCATCCCGCACACCACAACCGCATCCTCCAGATCCGCAGCCGGAGCATTTTACTCGACCTCGACGGCCGCGGACTCCAACCAGCCCCTCATCACCGTCACACAGCTCCCGGCGCCCGGGTCCGGCCACATTCGCATTCTCGAGCTCAACCGACCCAAGGCGCGCAACGCCCTCTCCAAAGCCCTCCTCTCCCAGCTGCGCGCCGAGGTCGACGCTGTCCACGCCCAGTATGACCCGGAAACCGGCGCCGAGGTGCCGCCGCAGCCCATCTTTGGCGGTGCCGCTGGGAAGGACGTCAAGGGCCCTACGCGCGCCCTCATCCTCGCCAGCGCCGTTGAGACGAGCTTCTGCGCCGGCGCGGACTTGAAGGAGAGGCGGGGCTTCACACAGGAGGAGTAAGTTGTAGCCTTACACTATGAACCCCAAATTCAGTTGAGGGCCAATTATTGGATATCTCTTCGAGATTCGAACAAGAGCTTGCTGCTAACACGTGAGCCCGTACAGGACCGACGAATTCCTCCACAACCTCCGCTCCACCTTCACCTCCCTCCAGAACCTCCCGATCCCAACAATCTCGGCAATCTCCTCCATCGCCCTCGGCGGCGGCCTCGAGCTCGCCCTCTCGACGCACTTCCGCGTTCTCTCCTCCAACGCCCTCGTCGGCCTCCCCGAGACGCGCCTGGGCATCATCCCCGGCGCCGGCGGCACCCACCGCCTGCCCGCGCTCATCGGCCTCTCCCGCGCGCGCGATCTCATCCTCACGGGCCGCCGCGTCTCCGCACCCGAGGCCTATTTCCTGGGCATCGCGGACCGGCTGGTGGACATCACGCACGAGGAGGCGGAGAAGGCGGGCGAGGGCGACAAGGATAAGGGCGTGTTGCTGGCGGCGCGCAAGGCGGTGCTGAGCGAGAGCGTGAGGCTGGCGGGGGAGATTTGCGAGGGCGGGCCGATTGCGATTCGTGCTGGGCTCCAGGCTGTGGCGTGGGCGAGGGAGGAGGTTGAGAATAAGATGTATGAGCGGGTTGTTGCTACGGATGATCGGAATGAGGCGCTCAAGGCGTTCCAGGAGAAGAGGAAGCCTGTCTTCAAGGGCCAGTAAGGCTGTGTAGTATTTTTTGCATATCTATGGTCTAGATCTTGACATGAGAGCTAGGCATGTATTGCTCGAACATAGCCTTGAGACCATGATGAGATGGATCAGCTCAGCGGAAGAGTTTCAGCAACTCAAGATTTCATCGTGATATAGATACGGCGGCCATGCTAGACATCTTGATCAGACAGTTCCTCTTTGACGATGATGCCTTATTCTCGTTCAATCGATCACCCAAGAGACCCAGGGCACATGAATAACTTGAAGAAGTTCCGAAATGCATGTCGGGTGAAGAGGGCTCATAAACCCCACCTCGGATCCGTGCCGGTAGTGGATCCCGGTGCGGCACGGATGAGATCGAGATGCAACATGGCGGGGAATCTCTAAGAAGGTACTGCTTGACTTGATGTAGACTAGGACCGAAGCTGGGGCTCATGTGAAAGGAACGAGTGCCAAGCTGAATGCCAGCTTACCTTGGGCTACCTAGGTATTTCTCTTCATTCCGCCCTGTCCTCTCCGTATTAGAGCTATTCAAACGCTGAAGACCGAGGTTATGCAAACAGTCCAATGCAGTGTGTAGGTACAGTGGGATGCAAGGCATCTGATGGTCTGATGAGATGGCCAGGCAAACGCAAGGTAAGTAGATATGGCGTCATCTTCCCCGGTCCCAACCGCCTATTCCGCGCAGAGAGATCGAAAATCGGAACCTAGACAGTACATGTACCAACTCCCCAAAAGCACGGCAGTCTGCATCAAACGTGCATTGGATCAAGAATGTCAAGCGGGCTGGAGACTGGAGGGATTGGTCCGCGATCGATGATGTAGGTGTGATACAATTGTCTTGGTGGTTGCCGGGACGTCATAGCGCCTCTTTTTTTGCTCCCCTTTGGTCCAGCCCAGTGCACTTACCTACCTTACGCTGTGCAGGTGGAGCTTTGGGGGGAAGTGGCCGCCCTGGGGTGCAGTCAGGTTAGTGCATTCGCGGGTGTTCCAGACCGTGTTAGTGCTAGTTATTGCTCGCCTACTGCCCTTTCCTCTTCGCCTCAATAGACGAACACCATGACATCACGGGTAGCTCATACGTAGCTCAGCTTCAACTCGGGCCTAGCTCCCCTTTTTCCGCACCTTGCCATGGGAGACGCAGACACAGACTGGGACGGGAGAGTAAGCTAAGGGAGGTACGCGAGCGAGGGGTAGCTCCTTCCGGGTTTCCTCTTGTCTTTCATATTTGAGCTCTCTGGCTGCACTTCTTACTTCTTCTACCTCCCTTTCTACCTTACTACTCATCACAACATCACCACCTCGAAAGCTTCAATCGAATCAATCGACGACTCGTCATCATCACCAATAACCCTCCCATAAACCACTAAACACACACACACATCACAATGTCTTTCCTCATCGAAGCCACCGGCCGTCGTCTGGCCACCGTCCCCCGTGTCATCCCCAGAGCCGCCGTCGCTGCCCCCAGAACATTCACCACCTCCTTTGCCGCGCAAAAGTCGGCAACAGAGACCGTCAAGGATGGTCTGAAGACTGTCGACCGCAAGGTTAGCGACAAGCTTGTCGATGGCATCAACGCTGGTGGTACGTCTTCCTTCCCCCCTCACCTCCCACAGGTGCCCACACCAAATGATACTAACACGTATCCTACAGCCAACGTCGCCGAAAAGGTCAAGCAAAACGTCCCCAACACCCAGGGCGAGGCCGCCGGCAAGGCACAGGAACTCAAGGGCGAGGCTGCCGGCAAGGCGCAGGAGCTCAAGGGTGAGGCCAAGGGCAAGGCCAACGAGCTTGCTGGCAAGGCCAAGGGTACCGCCGACCAGGTCAAGAAGAACCTGTAAACTTCCCACACTCAATGATTCTTCCAACAAAAAATTCCCGGGAAGGAAAGATGTATGACGACGATTTCTGAGCATGCGTTATGAAAGGCCGCTGGAGGACTGGGAATGTCCCACGCGCGATCTTACTTGTACACTACCACTACTACCTCATAGCATGGAAAGGGGTTCGAGGGTGACTCCGTGGGGCGTTTTAGCAAGGTCAAATCAATATTGCGATTGACTACAACACATTCTGAACTGCTTCGCTGATCAATGTGACTTCAATTTGCCACCTCTCTTCATATCGTGAATAACAGCTAATCCACCAATAACAATAACTTACGACATGTTGCGTGTAACAAATTATTGAGCATCCTGGTATTTTTTCGAAAACTAAAGTCTTCACCAGCTGTCGCAACACCTCATTAAGGTAATAGAAGATATCCGATGGTCGAAACAGTATGTGTCATTGGCCAATGGCATCTCAGAAGCACAAAGATAGTCATGTGAAGCCGCATCCATTCACACCGAGGTAGCTTAGCCGACATCAGAATTACAATTGAATAGGCCTCAATCCAGAGGTCATAGTCAGCAGTGAGGCTGACTATTTTCAGACTCCTCGAAACTTCTGCTATACGAGGAGCTGCTTCGTACCTGGTGTGGAGAACTCCCCAGAAGGAGGTTGACCGAAAACTTGAGGATGACTTTGCCACTGCAACGAGTTCAGACACAAGAAAACACAATACCACCTACCAAACAACCCCGAGTCCCCAGAACCTGTGAATTGCCATGACCGTGAGCCGTCAATGATAAGTACCTCTTGAAGGTCATTGTCTTGACGGCTGGAAGCTACTGCAAAAAACCAACAGCAACTCGATACGCGGAAGCGGAATAGAGAACGTATAAAAGGAACCTAGCAAGACGATTTACAGGCCACCGCAAGGGACACATCCCAGGACCGCAGTCCGACATAACGACCATGCGGATCGTAGAGATTCTAGATATCGGACCAGGGAACAAGCCCATCCCAGAACTTCTCCGTCCCTCTACCCGACAGAGAAATCTATATAACCGAAAGCCAAAGCCTAGCGTTCGTATCCATCTTCCGTGTATCGCACGTGAATACTCTCGTGAGGGAGGCGAGGCGTGAGGAGCAGACTACCATCAACTGGAGGTACTTCCCTTCCTACTTGTGGAAGCGGTGAGTGTCTCCGAGTGCGCTGTACGACGAAATCTGGTCCCTTATGCGCTTCCACAACTCAGAACGACAGAACTGCCCTGCTAGATAGCCAATGCAATAACAAAGAACAAGATTATATACCAGCTGATGTATGCCCTGGCGAAATCCGCCAACTTGGCGCCAGGAATCTTGGCCCATCGATGATAATGAGGGTTAAAGCGAGAAAACAGTGAATGCAGAGACGGACGGTATGCATCTATAGCACACCAAAGCTACTCCCGAGCATCCATCAGGCCCGTGTTGGTCAAGATCTCGGAAGGACGGGGAGTGACGAAGATCTGGGGGCTGGAACTGTCATGCCGCCTGGTACGCTTGCCAGCCAGCCTAGAGCAAGGAAACGACCCAGGCCCGGATTGACATCCAAGACTACTTTCGCCGGTGTGAATCATTCTCATAGTTATATTCAAGGTAATGCTAGTCTCATTCTCCTTAACTTTACTAAAGTAATGACCTGCCCTTCACGCCAAGACCACCTAACAATCAGAAAACATCCTTGATGCTATCCTTCGTGAGTAAACCGCCGTTTCCAGACGGGATGTCGACATCACTCAGAGGCAACGGCGGACATGCCGCTTGTGGTGTGTCGATGATGATGCTCTACTTGAGGCTTTTAAGAGCTAGATGCGACTCGAAAATGTAGGACTAGCAGGTAGACATGGGCAGGCTCTGAACGTCAGGCAAGGAAGACAATATGGTTCATGCTAGACACAAGTCGAAAAACAATGTCAAGATCACGCAAACATCAAAAGCACAGCATAAAGAAATGTACCGACAGAACCACCTCCCAACCTTGACATCCCCCCCCTCCCATCGTCCCCCAGTCAAAGACCAGAGTCAAGGAATCAAGGCAGATAGCAGAATGACATGATATAAAAGGCCGGGAGAGCAAATGGTCAATCCGCAAACCGAACCACCCGCCCCCACCCATAAAAGTCCCTGTCCTTAAAAGTAGAAACCGTCGGCGTCGACACATCCCATCATGGAGTCTTTCTTCCACCGACAACACTTCATCTTGAGCGATCTTGTGCCTTGCGGATCCGAAATGTCCCAGAGGATGTGGAGGTCTGTTTGATGTACCGCTCGTAATACAGAGCTGGATCAAGGATGAATCTCTCCTTGCGCTCCACCTTGACGTGCGGATTTGCCATGATCTTCGTAAAGCCATGGCGAATGATTTGTTGAGAGAGAGGAAAGGGAAAGGAAGAATGTTCACAGTTATAGCACAACGAAATGGATGTTGACTTTGGCTCGTGCCAGGAACTCGCAAGGTTTGGGTCGGTTGCCGGGACGGCCCATGGGGTATCGTACATTCTGGTCTCGTCTAGGTCAAGTCTCGTCAGCAGCAAACATTAATGGAACGAACGGTCCTGGTCCTCCTCGAAGAAGACCTTCTTCCTTCCGCTACCCCGATCGTGATCCAGATCCTCCAAAGCCTGATCAATCTCCAAGATATCCAACATCTCCACCTCGACGTCGCGTGTCGTAACATCATCCTGTAAATCTGCAGCGGCGTTGAGCGTGTCGGCGAAACCGAAGCCGGACTTGGGCCGTCCGATGGGAAGCGTAAAGTCGTGTGTCGGATCATCGACGTCGATGCTATCGCGGCCATTCGATTTCGCGCGCAGACTTCTAGTCTTGTTAACGCTGAGGTTGAACGACACGTTTCGGGGCTGATCGGGTCGAGGGTGAACAATGATGGCGCTCGGTGGCTCTGGCTTGCCCTTGTCGCCAAAGAGACGTCGGCGGGTCGAGACAACCGTTCCGATCTTGGTGCCAGGGGTATCCTCCGACTCGTGGACAATCACCAATCGACTCTCGCCCATGATGAGGACCTCAATCTGCAGACCCCCATCGTTCTCCTTCAGTCTAGCAAAGTTGACAGCGGCACCCACGCCACAGCAGCGCTCTCCGAGAAGTCCGGTAGACAGATCTTGCAAACGGATCATTCGTGTTGGAGTAGTACCGCTGAACAGGTTCACACCTCCACCAGAACTCCGACGCAGCTGGGCATCCCAGAAGCGTGAGACGGCGGGGATGACAGAGACATTATCCAGTCCGCCGATCCAAAGCACGACGCTCTCATCAGCGGAGCCAGAGCCTGAGCCACTGCCGGGCAAGGGTGTCACAACGATACCGCCTCTGACAGACACAAGTCTTTCCAGTGAGCCCGCGGTACTGAGCGAAGCTGCTGCGTCACGTCGGCTGTGGGGTGTCAGAGGTACGAACTCGCCGTTGCCGTTGGACCTAGGTACGCTTGCTGTCGTCCTCAACGGCCCTGTGCCTTCGACGTGACCGGTAGCACTGAAGGCGGTGATTGCGCCACCCTTGATGCCAGAGCTGTTCTTTCCCATGATTGAGGCGCCTAGCGGGCTAGCACCATCCACATCCCATATACCCCAGGTGCCATCGGCGAGCAGTGCGAGGACAGCTCTGCCATGAGAAATCCATGCGGCGTCAAGGATGGGTTTTCGTGTTGACGTAGGGCGGGTGAATGGCTGGAACAGAGAGAGCAACCAGGATCCTTGGCTAGGGAATGGTCCGGTAGCTTGGTCATCCGGAGGAAAAGAGGATAGCGCGTAGTCGTAGATGCGAACAGCGTGCGAAGAGGCCACTGTAAGGATCTGTGTAAGATGCGTCGGGTTGAATGAGATGCTGGAGAGAGGGCTAGGAAGATATTCGGTTTGGAATGGGTTGATTCGGGCACTGGCTTCGCCGGGTTGGACGTCCAGAGGCACATCCCAGAGACGGAGAGTGCCAGATGCCTCGCGGGTATGTGCGGCGACAACAAGACGAGGCTTCGGGGCACTTGATGCGCCGGTCTGCTCTCGTAACCGATCGGAGCTAGAGGAAGCTTTGGGTCTGATTAATGACATGGCAATGCCTTCACTCCGTTTGTATTGGCCGCCAAGAAGGACGACTCTCTCTCCCCATTGACCAGAACCAGCCTTTCCAGCCAGGAGGTTGGACATGAGATCAGGACGTGCCTTGCTCTCGGGACTCGGCGGTGTAAGAGGAAGGGTCACTACGTAAACTTCGTTGGTTGCGCAGGCCACTGTGAACACCATCTTTTCCTTCAAAACATCGGCTCCTCCCCAGGCAGCATCTTCGGCGGAGCATGGCGTCATAGGCAGGACGGCAAGATGCAGAACAGATGTGCCAAGAGAGAGGTCGAGAGTCTGGATGATTTCAGGGTAAGGTCCCTCCTCCTCCGAGTCTTCGAATTCGGGCTTGTCGGTAAAGGGCGCTGATGCCTTGCCTGCCTTGGCTGGTGGTTCGTCGTCGTCAGAGTCTATGATCATTACGGCATCTTCTGGAGCACCATTCTGCTTCTCATTGGCAGGTTTTGCTTGTTGCTTCTTTGATGGCTTGAAGCGACGTCCACCTCTCCATATTATTGTAATGCCATTGTCGTGGCCATAGAGGAGGATCGTAGCTCCTTGGGGTGACTGGACAGGGTAGGTCTTGACATCGTTGATCCGTCTCGAGAGGTTGTAGCTAAAGCCGGTCAGCGCGCTGCCTTGAAAGTAGCCTCCAGAGCTGCCTCTAAAACATACGTGTATTGTGTGTTTTGTGACGTGCGCCGGACACGGGGCGTTGGCTGAGGGGCCATAGCTGCCCAGATGTGAAGTTGAATTTGCTAGAGCTTCGGCCGCGAGTAAGCGTCGCGAATGGCGGCGTGCAGATGGCGAGCCCTCGCTTGACTCGAAAGCGATTGATGTGGAATGAAAGGAAGAGTATGTCGCCCGGCCGTTGACAATCGTAGTGATGGATGTGCGTGAACTTCTGCGCAAGCTGCACGTTGATTCCTCAAGTGCTGTAGCTGGGAAACAAAAACGCGATGGGCGTCGCGAAAAGCATCGAAATGGTGTGGCTGAAGCCTCCACCCGCTCGTTCTGCCGGGCTGCTGATGTGGCTGGTGAGGGCGGTCAGCACAGGTACCATAAGGAAGGTGCCGCGGACATCTGGTGCCAGCTGCCACGGACCCCTCCAAAGCTCTTACCTCGTCACCAAAACTGTGTGCCTCTGTCCTGCCCGACTTTCGCTTGAGTAAGTCGAAAGAGGGAAGAGAGATCAAGTTGAGCTTCCTTTTCACATTCCGTCATCTCTTGAGATTTCATCTCGTTCACTTTGGGAGTTTCCCTCCTTGACCTACCAACTACATGCTGGTCTGAGACCACAATTCGTCCCCTCCTTTTGCTATTCCGTCGACGCGGGCGACGTTGACGCGGGCAAGCCTTTGGTGGTAGGACGTCGACCTCATAAGGGCATTTTAACACCTTGGAGCATACAGAGACCGTACTCCGTACTCCTCTCTGCCTTCATCATCGAGCATATTTCACGTCATCTGAGTCTTCCCAGGCTCACTTTCAGTCACAATGTTCACTCCAACTGTTGCCAACTCGACCTCCTACTTCTATGCGCTAGGCAATACACCGGCCATCAACTTAGCCAAAAACCTGCCTAATGGAGTCGATGCCAGTTTACTACTACTTGGTTGCGGCGATGTGAGGAACATCGTTTACACAGCCTACAATGAGATTGGACTACGTAAGTGCTGCATAGGTTTTGATAAAATCACATCCACCTCACTAACTCGCCATCAGCTGGTCGCACTCTGGATATCACAGTCAATGACATCGATGAAGCTATCTTAGGTATGTTCAAAGTTTGCATCCACCAATGATTATTTACTGACCATCTGAAGCACGCAACATATTTCTCTTCTCTCTGCTCATCGATAATAACAATGTCTCCGGAAATACCCCCTGGAACTTGTACTACAACCTTCACATTGACAGCTCAGACCTACACATCTTGTCATCTCAAGTCAAGAAGCTTCTCAAAGCATCAGAGTCTCTGAAGACGTGGAAAGGAAGCTCATACGGCAAGGTCCTGCCCTTCTGTGATCAGGCTACCCTCGACGACGTTCGTGCCGTCTGGGTCAGCTATGAGAATGCCGCTGCGTCTGACAACGTCATCGCCAACTCCGAAGCCCTGACTGCTAATCTCAAACACTCCATTGAGATGAAGAGAATTGCCTTCGGCAACGCTGTAGCTTTCACCGGTTTGCGATCAGCTGCTCCCGCTGCACTACAAAACGCACAGGAAGTCACCGAAGCTTCTCAGCAGTTCTGGGAGTCCGCCGACGCTACACCCAACGGTGCCGTCAGCAACCCAAACCCCCTCTTCTATGCCTCGCTGTCGAAACACCATCTCTTGCACTACGGAACTGACCCCATCCTCGGCTTCCATCTTGCTGCGGCCTTCATCCCCTTGACCGATCAGTCTCCTCTCAAGCCTGATCAACAGGATGAGAGGGACAGGGTTTTCTCGGCTGCAAAGACACAATTCCGAGAGTGGGCCGCTGCCTGTGGGACTCTTCTTCGGGGGAAGAAGCTGGTGATCCGTTCCGTCGCCAGTGAAGCCCTTGCGTTCTGCCACACTCTGCAGCACTTAATCGTCACCAAGGAGACGTCTGCCGGATGGTACCGTCGTCAGTTTGATGCCCGCGTCCTGTCCTTGGACCAAGATGTATACGGCGCCAAGTCAACAGCTCCGATCGCATTCGATACTGTCGACACTTCCAACCTCGCAGACCACTTTGGCACATTGAACATTCTCATGTCAGCTCTACCTCTGCTCACACCCCACCCCTGGTCGGCTGTCTTCACCGAAACCCTTCTGAAGAGAGAAAGCACCGCCAAAGAGGCCTTTGATACCCTCTTGTACGGCCACGGGCCCACGATATCGCTGTTGGTAGGCGCGAGCGCGGTCGAATACTGGACCAACTCCACTGCCGTTTCAAGCGTCGATGAGATCCTGATCGGTCTGAGCACCAAGAGCATCCAGGCGAAGGGCGACGAAGTGGCTCAAGTGCACAGTCGAATTACATGGAAACAGAGCAAGCTTTTCTCGGGTGTCAACGCTTCCGGCCCTCTCGCGATCGAATCTGAGGCGCTAGCCAGCATCTTCTTCAACCTTTACCTCAAGGTCTTCGCGCACGAAAACCCCATGAAGCTGCTGTCCATCTCAAAGTCATCCGTCACGCAGCTTCTCCGCAACACGGCCTACTCCCACTTCCACCGGGGCACGCTAGTTTCCCTTCTCCATTATCTCAAGCTGCGTCTATCTGTCGACAATTTTGGAAAGACTTGGGGAGCTTTGCTCCAGAAAGTATCCGCTGAAAGAAGCCTGATGTTCACCGGGAATCTTAGACAAGATTTGTCTGTTCAGATGCATACGCAAGGAGTCGGCTCAGAAGACTGGCTTCTGGCAGAGATCAAGCCTAACCGTGACCTCGGCGGGTTCGACTCCTGGACGTCAGTCCCAGAGGTCGTGGCCGTGACTCTAGTTGTCCCGCGAGAGAAGATTGCGCGGGTCTTTGATGGCTCTGACCAAGCCAGAATCAGTTCCCCCACCATCAGAGGTTCATTGGTCTCTGGTGAAGACGCTGCCCACAAGTGGCACAACTTCTACGACGAGGTACAGCTTGTCTTTGGCACCGTCAAATCCAGCGGTGACCGTGACACCAGCGATTTCTCGGTAACCGTCGATGCAGACCCAGCAGGTTGGCTTGGGAAATCTCCGCTCATCGCTACCTTCTACGTCTCTGCTGCGGCGTTGCAGGTGGAACGCAAAACTTCCTACGTCCGCCTGGAGGTTCTGAGCTCTGCTCAAAGTATCGCCGTCTTCAGCAAGACTCTCGGTAGCGAACTCAGAATCTTCCAGGCTAAGTTGGCCGACGAGGAGAGCGTCTTCATCACCAAGTATATGCCCGGTCAGACGAGATATCCGGCTGCTTCTGAAGCTGCGGGACTGGTCGCAGAGGCTACTTTCGAAAAGAGCAAGGATACGGAATCGTCCTTCACCGCAAACGCATCACAAAGGCAGGACAGAATCGAAACCATTACTGGACATCTCGATATCCTGTCTGCCAAGGGCAAGAAATTCCTTACTGACAAGCTACCCATCACCCTCGATCAAGTGTCTCCCTTCACCGTCAACGTCGTGTTTGGTGAAAAGGAGCTTGTCTATCCTCTTACCTTTCCCACTCTCATCGACGCCAGCAAAGCGAAAACTCGCATCGCTCGCACATCTGCCTACGTCGAGGTCATCGCCCCCTTTGCCGAACCTAGCAGCGATCCAGAAACAAACACGGTACTCACCGACTTCGTCTACCCAACTCAGCTTGCACGAGGTCTTTCAAACACTCCAGCCGATCTCAACACCCCGCACCTAAACCTCGACCGCCTCCCCATTATCAACGTCGCCAAAAAGGATGAGCTTCCCTTCCTCAACACACTCCTCTCCTTCGAGTTCTCGGTCCGTGAAAGGGCACTGCGCGAGCGCATCAACGCTAGCAGGCTTGACCTCGCCCCTTCGCCCCGCGTCAACTTCAAGGAGTCAATATTCACCATGACTATGCTCTCCACGGGTCAACAGGGCGGCCAGACTGGCCTCTTCTGCCTCAACCACCCGGACCGCGGCGGCATTCACATGCTATTCTTCGTCTCCGCTCTCCGTCTCGATGCCGCCTCTGCCTCCGTCGTCCTCGATGCAGCAGTCCTACCGTTCACGCCCCCCATTATCAAGAAAGTAGAGCCCTTCCTTCTGCTTCTCAGAGAGCTCGAGATGGCCTCTGTCACTGTCAACGACGAGGAACTCATCCTCTGGAAGAAGGTCCTCCCCGCCCTGGCCGAGCGTTCCCGGACGTGGAATCACAAGTCATCGTGCGAGTACCGCAAGGCCGGTGCCACCATACCCCTATCGCTGGAACCCAGCGAACCTGCTCCTGTGGCCGCGGACAGTTCCCTTCGAACTTCATCGGGCTCCCAGAATGGGATACCGCGTCCAAATACGCCACCCGCATTGCCATCAGCCCGACGTTCGCTGTACCGTTTGTGGAGGAGATTGTGGATACGAATAAATACAAGGATTATCGCGCTAATGGGATGGCGCCGCCTAAAGAAAGGTGCACCAACTGTGGCAAGGAGCCGACGAACGGCGCCGCTCTGAAGAAGTGTATGCGCTGCTTGAGTGTCAAGTATTGCAGTGCCGACTGCCAGAAGAAGGATTGGCGAAAGCATCGTGGCGAGTGCAAGGAAAGCGAGGCGTATCAAAAATGATCTCGGCATTGTTGCGATTGAGAAAATACAGGGATTGTTTGGCCAAACTCTCGGCGGCGTTCGTTCAATTCTCTCCCCTTCTGTTGATATCTACTACTGTGAAAACTTACATTGGCGACAGCTCAGGATGAACTTCCCAAGCTCCATGCATACAGTTACCCCTTGGGGGTCTTGGGCTTGAGGTAGGTCGACTATGCTTCCGCGAGCATTGCTGACATTTCCAGTCACCATGTACTAATAAGGCGGCCTCACGTACTTTCTGACGTCAATTTTACCCGAACATTTCACAAAAGGGACAATCGTGTGGCAATTTTGTAACAAGGCTTCCGTGTATCAATCGCGGGAGACTTATGCAGGCTATGTTGAGCGACCAATGGCGTCGCGTATTCTGACTTTCTGCACTTTCAAATCTGGACGGAGCATCTTTCAGCTTCTTTCCCCTCTTTTTCCCTCAGCTGAGAAGCCATCTTTTCAACGAGAGAACATCATGCGAAACACGTCTCGCAGACGAAAGCGTTGCCGTCCGACCTCGTCTCGACAGCGTTAAGCTGAGGGACCTTCTGATTTGTTCGGTCATGTGGCTTCTCAATACGAAGACCCTCGCCCTCGAGAGCTTCACGGACCCATCAGAGGTTGGGTACGCGATACTCTCGCACACATGGGACAACGGCGAGGTCTCTTTCCAGGAAATGACCTCCGCCACTATTGCAACGACGACCAAGAGCAAGGCAGGCTTTGAAAAGGTCGCAAAGACTTGTGAGATTGCAAAGGAGGTGGGCCTGGGATACGCGTGGGTCGACACCTGCTGTATCGACAAGTCCAGCAGCGCCGAGCTCAGCGAAGCCATTAACTCCATGTTTCGATGGTACCAGGAGGCGAAGGTCTGCTTGGTACTTCTCTCGGATCTCCGCCCGGAAGTTGGCGGCACTGGGCCTGGGATCTATGAGATATCCGACCTGTCTAGGTGTAGGTGGTTCACTCGCGGCTGGACGCTGCAGGAGCTAATCGCGCCGGCCGATGTGGAGTTTTACGATGCTGGGTGGAAGTTGAGGTTCTCCAAAGACACATGGTCGGGGTGTCTATCGACGATAACCAACATCAATATCGACATCTTGACATTCGAGAAGGAACTATCGGCTGTTCCCGTAGCCGTCAAAATGTCCTGGGCAGCACATCGCCGAACGACCCGTGTCGAGGATCGGGCCTATTCCCTCCTCGGGCTCTTCGACATCCACATACCCATGATCTACGGCGAGGGCGCCAAGGCCTTCCAGCGGCTCCAGGAAGAGATTGCCAAGGGCACGGACGACTTGTCGCTTTTCGCCTGGGTAGCAGTTGATGAAGAACAGCGGTATAGAGGCATATTCGCCAAAGAACTCGCGGAATTCACATTCTGCGGTAATTATATGCGATACAGCCAATTTGCATTGGCCCGGATCGAGTTCTCCATCACCAACAAGGGCGTCCGATTTACAGACATCCTGCGCATGGACACAGAGGCAAGCGCCACTTGGTGGCTCCCTTTTGGAACACAAGGCAACTGCCAAATCTGTCGCTGTTCACATCGCATTCACATCGGCCTGGTTTTCACCGCCGAGGGTTGGGTCCGCGCGACGCCGGGGCGCTGCCGGTACGAGGGTGAGGGGCCGCTATCTGATGGCTTGATCGACATATGCGTCAGGAAGACGGTCTCAAGCTCAGAGAGCCGGAGACTCGAGCAGCGGCCAGGCCACTTCTTCAAGCTGGACTGGCCTCAGGGAGACCTTCTCAACAGGCATGGCACGCTTCTCATGGTCGAGCCCAGCGACCTCTGGGACCCCGTCCATCGGGGATTCGTGGGGGAAGCCCAGACCGAAGACTTTGGGGGCGTCATCAAGATGTCTTTGCGCGTTCTGCCGGCGGATGTCGTAGTCTTTCTATTTGTGTACAAGGCCAAAGGTCAACCCCCCAAAGTCCAGCTATTCCTGATCCCAGATGGGCCCTGGGAGCTGAAGGAGGGCCAAGTGTTCTCGAAAGTGCATATGGAGTTGTCCCGGCTATATTTCTCCCCTAGGAATGTGTCGTCTGCGCGAGCCACTGCCGATGACCGCCAGTTCCCTGTCGATGTGACCTTCACGGCAGAAGTGGACGAGGAAATGCGCCTGATAGTATCTTGTAAATATATCAAGGGCTCTCAAAGGGCACAGGAGCAGGAAGGGCTTCCATTACCAACGTATAGATCCACGCAGAGGCTTTCGGATGAAACCGATAGTCCACATGTGGGAGGTTTGGGATAGCTTCGTGGCCACTTAAGCGTGTGAGCACATCTTCCAGAGACAGATACCCTATAGAATGACGCAGCCAGCATCAATCTAGCTTCAAGCAATATCAAATACCCTATGATCTTCCGTTCAGTTCGGCGCTAGAGACGTTAAGATGGAAACAGGGCCGCTTTGTATTGTCGTCGACCCATACTGACCACACGACGCCTCGTTAGCTTGTCAATCCTTGCCTACTGAGTATCTTGAGTTGTATACCCTCGATTACGGTTCCATCTGCTCGTCCCCGGATCCCCCCATACATCATCGATTGATAGCTAGCGTGGAAGAACTTGTCACATTTATGCTCGTAACTTGCAAGTTCATTCCTCCCTATAGCAGGCCTGATACGATATAGATCAGACGAATAGCGCTACCAAACATTTTCCCAGCCCTCGTCGACCTAAAGACCAAGCAACGACGTTTCATGCCCCCGTGCCCCCGTCACGACGTCATCCCGAGCGCCCGGATACCACACCGCGAAACCCGGCACTTGGGAAAGGATCCGGGCTCGGTACCAGAAAGCGATACTGCCGTTCGGCACATGCATCAAGCAGCACAGAACCCACTTACAAAGTCCCGGGCGACTATGTCATCTCTCCTCCTCCGTCAGAACCAGAGTCAAATTACTCGGACGAAGAGCCCGAAGGAGGTAGAAGAGACTTCAACGATCCCCCAGAAAAGAAACCCACGCCATGTCCACAACTTTGCAAATCTCCACAGTCTCCCCAGCCCTGTTGTCATTACCAAAGAGCCCGCAACTCCCGATACTTCGAGAAGACCAAACTTCAGCCAGATATCCAGCCCCCAAAAAAGGCTGGCTATGCTCATTCGTCGCTGTTGAAACAACGACAAGCCATCCCCAAAACCAATCAACAAGATCTAAGCAAGGGTGGGGGGTGACACTTTTTCGACTCGGACACTGAAAATGGCGTCAGGCCAAGAACTGGGACAGGATGGATAGGCATCATCATCGTCAGGGACATCCCCTCCAGGCCTCAACACATCGCTCAATTGTTTCTGTTCCACCTAGTCCACTCAAAACACACCGCTCGCTGTCCGAGGACTCCACGAACACTAGGAGTCAAGAGCCAACCAACACAACTGAGAAGACTTGAGATCTTACAAACTAGAGCAGACGAAAGTTATTCTCTTTTCGCTTCCCACGTGTCAACCTCGGGGCGGCTAGTTTCAGTGATGTGACTGGTTTCAGTTACCAAGGATCAGCGTTCGTTGACCGGTCACTCGACCAAAAAGGTACTGTTCACAACCACACAAACGGACCGACTACACACACCAAGAAAGAACAAGACAGAGAGAGAAAAAAAAAATCCCGAAAAATGATCGTCAGGGGCCTAAACTTGACACACACCAATCCCCAATTTTCTTTCCCCAGCGCACCCACACTAAAACCACAGAAAAAGGCTGAACGCTGAACAGCCAGTGGTGCAAGCACAAGCCAACGTCCAATCCCAATCTTTGTCTTTATTCCCTCCCCCCCAGTCTTCGATGCCCACGTGCTGGAGGCCTTTCACTCGGGTATCCGTATCTTGCCTCCCATCGGGCAGCCCGCAAACAAGGTATGATCTTGTTGCCCAAGCTTAAAAATGTTGGCAGAAGGCTGGGGAGGGGCAGGCTGAAAGTTGGCAGTCGGTTACACTACCTTACCTTACGGCAATCTGCAAGGGAGGCGATGGAGTAGTAAGTAGGTAGGGAGAAAAGGCTGCAGTCCCGTTGTAGAATGTCAGGTGACCTCGTCACACATTACTCTCGTCAAGCCGGGTCACACACAAACGGCGCGTGCTCGGAGCTCGGAGGCGGCGCTCGGAAGAACGCCCAGTGTACTAGACGCGGCAGTCGGATCTTGTCCTACTGCAAGTTCACGGCCATCTCACTGTCAAATGGTCCTTCACGGGGCCGTTCGTCAAGTCAATGCGATTGGAAGGAACAGAATGATGAAATATGAGGTCATTGGATATTTTGCTCGATTACTACGCCACAGTTCCATAACCCAAGTTAACCTTGAACACGCTGTATCAACCAGAAAAAAAGAATTCCCGCACCAGCCTCCTATCTCCTGCTTCCATCGGGTTGAGCCCAAGTTGGCCAAATCTCTCTCTCTCTCGCTTCTCACGCGGACACGCCAAGGGAGGGCCAAGGCTGGTTTATCCAAGATGATATTGAAAATCTCTGCCCGTGTAATAATCCCTCCCAAGACGTATGCCCCTTTGCGATCATAATATGAAGGTGCCATGGTTACTATACACAAGATGGGAAGGGGGGTTTACGCCACCATACTTCGTTACGACTCTTTCCATGAAATGTCGTTCAACAAGATTTTTATTTCTCCAACTGCCGCCGTGTTTTTGTGATGAACAAGATCTCGGCCTGCCAACCCCTTCCCATCGGTAGAATCGAAAGAACCCAGTGTAGGTGGCAAGTGGTTGGCGGACCGGGTGACGTGTTTTTAAAAAAGGTATTGGTGTTGTGGTAGTGGCGGGTTGTAGTTTGAGGGTAGGTAAGGGGGGGTAGGAGGGGGAATGTCTCGAGACGAAAGCCCCCCGTTTGGTTGGTTGGTTGGTTGGTTGTGATATCCAAAAGTTGTCTAAATTGTAGATAGTTGCAAAAGGAGTGGACGGCGTAGGGAGGGAGGTCGTGGCCGAAAGGGCGGATTTTTTGTGTATGGTTGTGTCCAAAAACAAGAGAGATTTGATAGATGTATCCAACGCAAAAAACCCATATCGTAATTTCCCAAGATATGTTTACCCTACACCATGATACAAATGAAAAATCCGACGACACTGGTCGTTTTTTTCGGAAGACGCCCCCGAGTAAGCCAGCGTCGGGAGATTGAACACCACAAAACGCCTTTGATGCCAGAATTGTGTAGAAAGAAGTAATTCAAAGAAAGCCCCAGGACAGGCTTTTTAGGTCGTTTGTCGTCATGACGTGAGGTGCTCATGCGTTGGTAACCTTTGATGAGGGGAATTAGCTTTCTCAGGGTTCATCTCATTTTAAGAACATCTCATCTCTCATAAACTTACTCGGAGAATCTTCCGCGAGTAATCTTGGTTGTCGGCAATGCTGCCATCGCTCATGCGTCGGTGCGCCAGGGTGGGATCCATGCGGGAGTCGGACATGGAGACGCCGCTGCTGCTGGGCGGCTTGGAGCCGCCGATGAAGGCGTTGACGGCGGCGTTGCGGCGGTGCTCCTCCTCGATCTCGGCGTTGCGCTTCCTGCGGACGAAGAAGAAGGCGGCGCCGACGATGGCGGCGATGGCCACGACACCGACGACGACGCCCGCGGCGATGCCGGCGACGTTAGTGCTCTTCTTGGGCGTCTCGGTTGCCGCGGCCGATGTTGTCGCGACGGGGGTCTCGATGACGGTTGAGACGACGCCGTTGGCGGCGGTTGTTGTCGTGGCCTTGGTGGTGGCTGCGGCGGTTGTGGTGGTTGCGACGTCTTCATCGGGAACGACGAGCTTGAGACCCGTGTTGAAGACGGAGTAGTACATCATGTCATCGACACCACCGCCTTTCACACAGGTTAGCCATTACATCAAAAGTTGAACAATGAGACGTAGGGTAACATACAAGCCTCTTCCGGGTAGAACGGGCAAGGGAAGTTGCACTTCTTGTCGTCGACGACGTCGACCTTTGGCGGGTACGAGTCACCGCAGTAGCAGTCCTCGCCGTTGATAGCAGCGACATTCTTCTTCTGCTTCAATTGGCATTCCTGTGTGCATGATCCGGTACTGATATTCTCGACGGGGTACTTCGTCCATGTCGTTGATGACGCGTTGTAGCATCCGTGGTTGGTGATGGCGCCTGGCCTCGCGGCCTCACTGGGCTTCTGGTATCCTGAGGTAGTGGTGGCAGTCTGGGCTGAGCTGAAGCCAAAGGCCACGGCGGCCAGAACAGCTACTGAGTACTTCATAATGGTTGTCGAGGGGGGGTATAACGAAAGCGTTGAAACGAAAAGTAGGTTGAATGAAGGTGCGGTCTCGAATCGATTCCAGGACTCGAAGACGATGACAGGTCTTGCGGGTTCAAGGGTTGTCGACGTGTCTCAGGGGTTATTGCCTCGGTGCGGTTCAGTCGGCCACCGAATGCTTTCCCAGATATCGAAATCCAAGCAGCGTCCTCTCGATTTTCCACCCAATTCGATTAATAAGTTGTATCCGTCGAGAGAATCGTAATTCGGTCGATCGGAGGAGGGTTAGATGATGATGATGATGTTGTTGAGGGTTGAGCGAGTGTGTCGGTCGAAGCAGGACCGTGTTCGGGTCGTGCGGCAAACAGGGCGAGTCCTAAAGAATGTGTGGGCACAAATAGGCCTCCTACTGGTTTCTTCGCGAGTTGATTTGGGCTTTTACGAAGCCTCTTGTTCTTTCTCCTTCACGTTGTTCTCTTTTGCTGGCAAAAAAAGAGGATATCACCGAGTAAATGACATTGAAAGGAGAGGGTAAATGAACAAGGGAAAAAGAGGAGGAGACCTTGGCGAGATTGGGAAGATGAGTAACAAGGCAAGGCAAGGCAATGGAAGAGGGAGAGACTTGGGGGGGAGGGGAGGAAATGGAACGAGTGACAGCGGGTGGAATTGGAGGGAACGGCTTGTTTTGTTGAAAAGAGGGAAACGAGCACGGAGTGGGTTGAGATGAGGAGGAAAAGCGAAATTAGGAGTCCACTTTGCGGCATCCCGGGGGGCTCGGGAGGGTGTAGACCCAGAATACCACAAGTACCAACTCCTCTTTTCTCTCTCTGGTGTCTGCCTCCGTCCTCTCAGGCTCTATCTCCCGTGCCCACAGAGCCTTGAGGAGGGTGGTAGTGTAGGCATGTGCAGTGTGTAGTGTACATATGAGTACTGAATAGTGAAAACTAGGGCAGGTCTAGGCAAAGGTAGGGATGGCTTCGTCTGTCTGCCATCTGGTGTGTGCACAACTTTTCCAGCTCGAGAGGGCACACACGCGTAACTTTCGACAGTGGGACACCCTCCTCGACTCTAGGACATGCCCTGCAGCAGTGTTCGGTAACAGCCAAGGGGTCCCCTGGCCACACGTCCGTGGCTTTCACAGCGGCACAGAGGCAGCGAGAGACATACACAGAGAGATAGCAGAGACGGGGGTGAAGTTGTGAACAGACTGGGATGGAAGAAAGGGAAAACCGGGGGGAAGAGAATCCACGGCTTCAGGCAGTTTTGGGAATAGCTGAGCGACAACTTGACGCGGCCGTTATCCAATGGCTTCATGCCGCGCCTGGCTTTGGCTCCATCCGAACAGATTCGATTGGGTACAGCTCTTTCGTGCTGCTGTCCAACGTTGGCGTCGATTGGATACATCCGCAGTAGTGCGACAGGGGTGAGCCATGTTTGGGTCTTCCCGGGCAAGAATTCAGGAACAAGAATTACCGTCAGGGGCGCAGTTGACTGTGCAGATCATGGGCTGTATCGGGGGTTGGCGGTACTGAGTACGGTTTGAAGAGACCGAAGTCTGTTAGATGAAGTGGTGGGAGGCCTCGGCCTGCCATAACAAGGACTCAGCTTGATGGGCTGTTCATGGTACACGCTATCGCGAGCCGTCGAGTGATCAGATCCACTTTCCAATTTAATCCTCCACATATGCGACACACCACCACGAGCTCTTGGTGTGCGATGCCGCCTGCGAGAATATCGCGCGGGCCTTCATAAATGTGATGTTGTGCACGGGGTGTATGGAAAAGGGGGAGGCGGTGAATAACTTGACACACTCGCTACATCATTGATGATACCACGGCGAGTTATGAACAGCGGCATTGAGTTGTGAAGACATACCTGTGTTCTGGAAAGTCTGAGCGCTGTTCGCTGTTCGAGGATGCGATCTTCTCATGGGCATCGCATCCCGATCGGCCGCTTCCAACCGTGGAATCTTCTCTGCTCGTGTACGATCTGCCGAATGTGCCGTTCGCTTCGCTTTGAAGTCAGAATAGGAGGTGGTTCGTGGTTGCGAAAGCGAAGACGCGAAGGGAATTCCTCTGCTGACGGTTATCTGCCGTACAACCACACAACACGGCAGTTCCCATAGTAAATGAAGAACAGCTTCTTTCTCTCTTCCCGCCTGTGTTCTTTCATCGCCTACTGTCGCCGGGGCCGTGTGTTTGACGCTGATTGTCAGGGTGTCACGCGCATGGGCGTGCATACGGTCATCCCAGACAGAACCACCCAAGAATGCTTTTGGGTGAGACTGGGATAAAAAAGAGAGAGTGTGTGTGCCATACAGAGCACCATACAGAACAGTAATACCACAGTGAGCGTACAGAAACTCAGGTACCCGTCCGTACATGATTTGTGCGGCGGGACGCCTGAGCACCGGCATCCGTTGCATTTTTTGCCGCTGGTGCCACGGATTACCTGACAGGATGAACCTTCGCTCGGTCATGCCTATTTCCCCCTCCCTCAGAGTCCCTCTTTCTTTTCTTCTTCGTCTCGTCTTTTTTGTTGCAGGCGCAGCTTGCGGGCCAGCTGGACGTATGTACCCGTCCGCGTGAGAGGGGAGGATTCGGCCCTGCTTTCTTTGCTTTCTGTTGATTCCTTCCCGCTTGACTGTTCGGACGGACGTTTTGGCTTGGATCTCTGAGTTGCAGTAGTGGCCAGCACATGCCCAGCAGTTGACTGCTGACAATGACGATGACGGGTCTGTCGACGGCTTCATAGCGTAACAGAGCGGTATTGGTATTGTAATAGCTGGCCGCTGCTATGTCCCTGATGATCATCAACGGGCAGCAAATCTTCATGCCGTCGTCGCCCCAAACGACGGCACAGGGGGGAAAACGAAACTCGTCGGAGGAGAGGGGGCAGCGGCCCAAAAGTCGCAGGTTGAAACTTGAAACGAGAAACCAACGGTGGCTGACCGTCCCAGACGAGGCCTACCGCCTATTAGTTACAACTCGCAGTATTAGCCAATATTCCGGTTGGCTGTACCGTTTGGTTTGGGGCGCTGCCGTCAGCTATCGTATCCGTACGGAGGATCCTATCACCCTATCTTGTCCGACACCAAGGCTCGAACACCTGGGGACGGGAGCCACTGAAATGGAGAACCCGGACGGGTAATGCAATGGGTACGGCAGATTGGATGTTGCCAGAGTTGGGCGTATTATCTGGGGGAAGGGAAACGTGCAGCTTCGTGCGTGAGAAATCGGCCGGTCTGGCCGGCCATCTGGTGATGGTCGAATGAGAGATTAGTCGAGATGCCGCGAACCGTTGGATTTCAGTCTCGCCAGTGCCCCGTATAAAGTAGTGTGCATACCTAAAGTACGGATACTTACACAATTACACAACGGTCATTCACTATTCGACTGGCCAACGTTGTGCATCGATGCATTATTCCAGCGCCTTTGGCGAACGGCTCATGCCGTTGCCAGCGAGGCCTCGAGGCCTGCTGCTTCGCTCGCGGTGCACGGCAGAAGGACGGCGGCGAGATTGGTTTGGATAACGCCACCCCTTTCTCCCTCTTCTACCCCAGAAGTGTGGATGGGATACGAGGACGGGCGGCCGAGCCAAGAGGCTTGGGAGAAGGCTTACAGAGAGGCTTGCAGCATGCCGGTTCGTCTTCTGGACTGTCTTGTGTCTGTCAACTTTCACAAGCAGGACTTCACAGTGACAGTGTGCAGGTAGCTTGCATCAGACGCAAGATTGAGGATGAAGGTCCCGGTCATGTCTTTCCGCCGAAGCCAGCACATAAGCTCGTGAAAGGAGCTTTTCTGTCCGCCTCTTGCTCCGTGCAGTACGAGAAGGAACATTTGATGATGGCTATTTAGAGATCAGAAGACCAGTCACCACTCTCCACGAAGGCAGTGTGGATGGAATGGGGAAAATGTAGACAGCAAATGAGGGCTCATCATCCAACGCACCAGGGAAACGTGTTCGACCCTCTGCCTCCCATGTTCCCGGGGGACCATCACCACGAAGAGTCAGAAGCACCGTCTGAGCACCGCTGCATCAACTGGAGAATTTCATCTCTTCAGTGGCTTTGGGCGGCTGTTGGACAGCGGTTGTGATCAATTGAACGCGCATATCCTGGGCTGCTGCGGAACAGAGGGGGTGGGTTTCTCGAGGAAGAAACGCTTAATCGAGAAGCTTGTCCTTAGTCGTCCGCACACTCGGGCATCCGATGCAGGTTCCTGCTTGGGGTGGCCCGGGATGCGTTACTTTTTCCTTGCTTGATATTGATGTTGCTTCTTAGCACAGCCTCAACAATCAATTAAGAAGGAAAACCCACGTCATGTTACTGTGGGCTGCTCGCTGGCTTCCTGCAGGCGAGATGTCTGATCATTCATTGATATCGATAGAACAATTTTTATGTACGTGTATTTCGAAAGAAGCATGGAAGTCCCCCTTCGCCTCCAATACTCTGTACACACAAATGCTGCGTGACATGGACGGCCTAACTAGGTTAAGCTGGGATCTATTTCTATATGCAAAAATCCAAACCAACGGACGCTATTGAAGCCCAGGCAGGTGCCGAGATGCTAGCGAAGAAAGAGGAGATGATGTTGAATGCCTGACCATGTGCTTTTTTTCGAACCCGCGACTTTGGGTAGAATCAGCATTCTCGGTTTTCGCGATGGGCAGCTGGGTTCGATATGGCGTCTCTTGATGCGGAATTTCATCGAGACTGCATTCTTCCAGAACATGAGGCGTTCTACATGTCGGTCTCGCGTCCAATCGCTACTTCGCTCTGATGGACGATGTTGCTGTTCTGTGAACTATTTCTGGCAGAGCGGTTCAGGGAGGGAAAAGGGTGGCCCTTTCCGGCCTGCAACTCCTCTTTTCAGGTAAAGAGGCCGAGGGGTTCCCATCCTCGGAGCATGTGTCAGCAGATGGTTCCTCTTCTCAAATTCTCCCTCACCAAGGCTCAGCGAGTTGCGTCTTCAGTGTCCGACTGTCGTAAGTTGATTGGGGGCCGTTTCCAAGTGACAAAAGTCTCCCTTTAACCATAGTAGATGTAAGCAGACGCCTGAAGAAGCAACGATTCTCCCTGTGCTGTGAATTCGCCCTACATGCCCGTCTCTTCAACCTTCACAGACCGCAATCTCCTCCAGCTCAAACCTTCAGACGCAGAAAAGCAACCCCTCGGCAGGATAATCCGATGCGACAGACAGCAGACTCTGGATTTCGTAGAGTTCGAACTCGCAAGTTGCAAAATCATCACATCTCATCCACCCGAGCGGCATCCTTCAGGAAACCAATACCGCCGCCAACATCCGGCACTGCCGCAAAGAACCTTCGCAGCGTTCCAACGGGTCCCATCTCTCTTGATTAATACGAAGAAAAACCACTCTCATCATTGATGACCTGTCTCTCATGCCGAGAACCCCCTTTTGGTGATGAGAGCCCGACGTGCCAATTCCCAAGCCAAATCCAGGGTCCCAGAGATCCCAGAGATAATACATCTCTAAACTCCGTTGATCGGCTCCCCGAGCTTCCTATCTCGAGTCGGTTCCCGGCTCCCGGTTTACGTTTACTCCTTGCTTTGCGGGTTCCCGAACCAGGACTTGCTAAAAGCACCGCCGCCCGAGGGCTCCATGAGTCCATTCTTGACTGTGACGCCAACGGACTAGCCATCAACCACTCGATTTCGTTCGCTGCGCGGCTGCGCTGTTTATTCCAAGATGCCGACAACTCTCCCCCCGTCTCCCAAGACGCGTCGGTGCAGGGGCAATCCCCCCTCTCCCCTCCAGCAGCGTTTAATTCTATCCACAGTCTTTTGTGCCGTTCCTCGCTGTGGATGCTCTGGAGAAGGGGTCGAGTCATTGTCCGCGGAC